TGCACATAACCCTAGCTCTGCATCATCAAGAGCCCCGTAAATCGGAGAGTATATCAACGGCCAGGAAAGCCCCAAAACTTTCAAGAATACAAAATATCACTAGCAAGCAAATGGACGGCGAGAGAAGACCAAAAAATGGTTGAGGTGGAGAATATAGACTCTTGTCTAAGTTGTAGGCATCCATGGGGATTAATCACCAGTTATCCTGTCTTCTCACGTTAGAACAAAATGGTGTCATTGAGAGGAAACATAGACACATCATTGAACTAGCTCTTGTGTTGATGGCTCGTGTGTTACAAGGGAAGTCACCATTTGAGAGGTTACATATCAAGGAACCCGATTATAGCTTCACGAAGGCTTTTGGGTGTAGGAACTTTCCCCACCTTCGAGCCTATGAGACACACAAGTTATGCTACAGATCTCAGCCGAGTGTTTTTCTTGGCTACAGCTCCCTGCATAAAGGGTACCAGTGTATGGCGCCTGATGGTCGGGTTTACATCTCCCGGCATGTTCTATTTGATGAAAATTGTTTTCCTTTTTCAGGTGCAAAGACTGTCAAAAATATGGTTTTTGATACTGGGCAACACGAATCTGTCGAACTATCTGTTATACGTGGGGCAGATAGAGTTTGCATGGGAGGTGGAACGTGCATGGTTCCACCCATTGGTTCTACTCTTCTTCACCTCAATTGGATTCCAGCTGTCACGATGTTATGGGAACTCAAGACTGAACTCCACCTCAAATGGGTCCCAATTGCCACGGAGATATCACTGATATGGAATTCAAGGTTGCCATGATGATACGGGAATTCAAGGCAATGTGCAGCAGTCTGGGAATGATGAAAGTCAGTCTGCTGTTAATGTTTCGGTTGATGTGACTGATCAGGGAGAAAGCTTACCCAATATAGATGTGACAGATCAGGCGGGATTCAATGGTGCATCCATGTGAACAACATTGGTCTGCAGCAAAACGAATGTTACGTTACTTGAATGGTACACTCGACTATGGACTCCCGTTTTTTCCCAGAGAGAGTTCACTTCAGCTAAATGCATTTGCTGATGCAGATTGGGGGGCGAGTGTCGATGAGAGGCATTCCATCTCGGGTACCTGTGTGTATCTAGGAGGAAACAGAAAACAGTGTCGAGATCCACGACTGAAGCTGAGTATCGGAGCTTGGCATAGGTGGCGTCTGATGTAACATGGTTAAATGCCTTGTTAGACGTTATGTGTGTGAGGCTAGGGACTACACCGGTGATTTGGAACGACAATTCCAGAGCGATAGCCATGAGTGTAAATCCGATGTATCATTCGAAAACTAAACATGTTAAGCTCGACTTACATTTCGTTTTTTGAGAAAGTTGCAGCAGACAAGTTGAGAGTGAATTATGTGCCTTCGGATCATCAGGTTGCTCATGGTGCTGACCAAACAAAAACACGCAGACCCATATGTTGACGTGGTGTGTTTAAATCATGATAGATGATGACATGACACTGCCACGTATGATTTATAAATAAAAATTAAAAATATTATTATTAATATTTATATATTTTTATTTAATATTTTTATCCAATAAAATTATGACATGTATTAACACCATATTAATTTAAATTTAATTCAAACAAAACGAGGAATTGAACAGGCTAACATGCTTGAAATATCAAAATCTAACAACAAAAACAAATCTTTTATTTGTTTATTTTTTACAACATAAAATATTTAACATATTCTTTACGTCTCTTACACATTTTACATTTTCATTTGTTTTATGCGTTTGCCGGCGAGTCGTTTGAGAAGAACGCCAATGTGTTGGAGGAGATGTTGGGTGTGATGAACTGGATGTTCCCACTCGCATGGTTTGGTTTTTGAAATCAAAAGACATTCTCCTGAAGTAGAACTCCATTAAAGTCCTGGGAGAGCTTCTCTCTTGCGACCAACGATAAGGAGAACACTTGGCAGCATGATTTTCAGAACCAGACCGGTTAGCGAACCGGCCATGCTATCGGTTCACTGGTTTAATCAGTCGAACCGGTCTGATCGATCGGAAGAACCGGACGACGTTATAATTATTTAAAAAATTAAATAAAAATATCAAAAATATTTAATAAAAAATAATTTTTTATATCACTAGTCATATTCAAAGCAAATCATAACATATATAAGTTAAAAATCATAAAATCAAGTGAAACAAAATGATTCAAATTAACAACAACATAATATTTAAGGTAAAATATATTAAATAATAAATATAATTATATAACTATAATTAAAAAATAAATTTGGGGCTAATAAAATCATAACAAAATAATATTGTTTGGTTTAATTTTTTTTAAAAACAATCCCACATAGCTAAGAAACATAGAAGAGCATCCAAAAAGTCTAAAGAATAAAAATATGATAACAAAACAATCTCACATGTCTAAAAAACATAGAAAAACATCCCAACTAACTTCTATAAATAATAGAGGTAATTTGACATTCAAAATCATAGAACCTTTTGATGATCATTGAGTGAACTATTCTTTCACTTTAATCAAGCTCGAATTTTAAACTTCAATTGAGCTTCTAATTTTTTTTTAGTTTAAGCCTTTTCGAGTTCAAGTTTCAAAATTATATTTCGAATTTAAGTTGAACTTGATAATTTTTAACTAGTGAGTTTGAGTCGAGTTAAGCTTACTTTTAAAGTTTTCAAGTTCGAGTCGAGCTCATCAATACTAGAGTTCGACTTGGCTCGTTTAACAAACGACGTCGTTTGGTTTAATTTTTTTAAAAAAGAAATACAAATTGACAGTTTTTTCCGATTTTCAGCCGGTCCGGTTCGAACGGTTCAACGGTTCTTGTCGGTTCACTAGTAGCGATTCAACTGATATAAATTGAACCGGATTAAGCAACGATTACCGGTTAAACCAACCGGACCGGTCCGGTTTTCAAAACAATGCTCGGCAGCCATTGATGTAGTCAATGGAATCCTACTCAACTTCATTAAAGATCGTATTTGTCCTTGGATAACAAAAGCTTCACTCATGGTGGTTTTCCACATGGTTTCACCATCAAACGAGAAGACTAAGGCTGAATTCGTGGAAATGGATCTCGTTTCTTTATTGTTAGAATCCATAATCGAGTCCAAAAAAAGTTACTGCGAGAGGGCTTTAGGTGTCATAGACAAACTCTGCGAGACAAAACAAGGGAGAGAATCTGCTTGCAATAACGCTCTGGCGATGCCGGTTATGGTGAAGAAAATATTGCGCGTCTCAAAATTGACAACCGAGTACTCTGTTTCGGCCATTTGGAAGCTGAGCAAATATGAAGAGAAAGTTTTGATGGAAGCTCTGCAAGTTGGTGCATTTAAGAAGCTTTTGCTGCTCGTACAAGTCGGGTGCGGCGACGAAACCGATGAGAAAGCAACTGAGCTTTTTGAAATTAATGAATCCATACATACCTGGAGTGGAGTGTATTGATTCTCTGGATTTCAACAACATCAATAGATCTTTTTGATATTCCCCCCCACCCTTGGATGCAAATTCTTGATTATTTGTAAATCTAATTCAAAATTGCTCTTAAAATTGATTTGTTCTCAAGAAAATATATGTGAAATTGCTCGGCTTTGGTTATGTTAGTAAGGTTGAAGTTCTGGATACCCCTGACTAGAACCATGTTGAACATAATCTAAGGGAAGAGTTGAGAAAAAACGTGACGAGAGACCTTAGAAGAGACCTAGTGAGAAGGGAGAGGTTTTTCTCTCTCTACAAACCATCCTTTAAAGATTGTCAAAAAGATGGAGAAGTGTTTGATAAAATATGTGAGAAGTATTATATATGTGTTAAATATTGTGTTGTAAAATATAAATAAATGAAAGCTTTGGCTTGATGGTTAGGTGTTGATATTTTAAGCATACTATTCAAGTAGAAATTCATACAAAATATGTTTTGTTTGGTTTAAAATTAAAATTAAAATGATATTGATATGTGTTATTATCTTATTAGATAAAAATATATAAATATTAAGAATAATATTTTATTTTTTATTTAAAAATCTGATGTGATAGTATCACGTTATTATCTATCATAACTTGAATACGCTATATCAATATTTGAATTTTCGTGTTCTTACTTGATTAGTATCGTATGTTAACTGTCAATTGACTAATAATTTTTATCTAATAAAAATATTTTTTAACCCAAAATAAAAGATTTAAATATCAAATATTCAAAAAAAAAGAATACTAATAAATTTAACAATACTGTGAATAATTTTATTTCATTGTTCATTCACTTTTTGTGTGTGTGGACTGTGGATATGTTCCATCCTTATCACACCATTCACCATCCATCTCCCATCAGCTCCAGTAATTCTCGGTCTCACGAAGCTTGTGATATTCTATGCTTTCTCCACGTGTCCTCCATGAGCCTCTTCCCTAAACATTCAGACTCTGGTCCACAGATCCCACGTTTCGCCGCATATCCCTAAATCTCCTTTACTGCTCGACACGTATCCGTTCCCACCCAAGCGCCTAGCAACACGTGTTGACACGAATTCCATCACGAGTCGTGATCAATATAACCAACAGAGGGCCCACCACACGAAATCCTACACGTTTTGTATCTCTTAAGCAGCCACGTTGCACCCGATTCCTGTGAATTCTGGCAAAATAATTGAATGTTTGAATAGAACGGTCGAGATTCGCGGGGACAATGAAATCTCGCACCACGTGTCCGCATACTGGCACAAGTGTTCAGAAAGTACCTACGCATCATGTGTTTCTGACTCATCACCAGCTCTTCATGCATATATGCCACGCGTCATTCCGGACTCCAAGTTTCCTTTTCTTAGCGATTTGCACCAAATTTAAAAGAAAAGGGAAAATCACAAATAAGTTGAATATGGATGATTTTGCAAACTGAAGCAAACATTTTAGAAATCAAGATAATATCTATAAGATATGTATATCTCATTTTTATTTTTCAATATAAAATTTAGTGGAAGGTTCATGTCAGTTGCAACAAACATCTCCACGTAACCGCTTAGATTCTTCATTTGTAGCATGAGGTTTTAGCAAGAATCGTTGTTTTTGTTTTTGGAGCATTTTTGAAATGGAAAACAACTGTGGGATAATGGGGTTAAGAGAAGATGAAATTGAGCTAGACCTGGGATTATCAATCGGAGGAAGCTTTGGAAAAGCCGAGAAACTAAAGCCCATAAAAGACGAACCAAAACCCAGCAATAACTCCGTCGCAGATCTCGAAGAAAGCGTTGTTTTTGATCCCCAAGCGAAACGTGAGGTTCAAGCTTTGAGGCGACAAGAAGCGAGGAAGAAGAGAGAACACAAGCAGCAAAAGAGAGGAATACATCACCGGAGCGGCGAGTTTCAAAGCAAAGACAACGGCGCCGGTGCAATGGAAGATAATGAATGCAAGAAAACCAGAGTTGAAGAGTTTTCCGGTAACGTAAATCCTAATTCGAGCGGCGAGCTGAATAACCTGTTGGTATGTCCGGTAATCCCGGTTCGGGTCCCGGACCCGTATCCGCAGATCCAGTTCGTGCCGCTCGCCACTGGGTTTGCGTATTCTTGCGTAAACGCGGTGCCTTGTTGGGGTGATGTAGTTGGGAATGAGAAGGACGTTGTGCAGCCGCTGGTTGTGGCTGTGAACGACGGGTTCCCGTCCTTTCAGACGACTCGAGTTTCGGGTCAGAATGGTGTAAATGGATATTATTCAGAACAGAATATTAGCAGAGATGAAAGGAAGAAGAAAACATGCTCAAACGGGTCTACAATGTATAGTTCCTCTGCGGGTTCGGATCTTCAAAGCTCTTCTAAATCTAATCAAGGTACGTCCTTTACCTTTTTTATGTAAATATTATGTTAGTATTTCTGTTTTAAAAATCAAAAGGGTTATTGAAAATGAAAGATGAAATCACGTGATGATACTCTGCATTTGTTCTTATATTTTGTTTACCGTTCATTTTCAGGTGGTTGCAGCAGTGAAACAGGAATCCCCACTCCACAAATGAATTGTTCAGTGGCAAGCAATCCTAAGGGCCATTCTGAACAAAGCGCTACTTCTCGCCAAACGGACTACGCCCAAAGCATCGAGAAAACACCATCATTGAATGTCACAGCGTGCACTTTATCGAATCCGAAGAAAGAGCCCAAACCCCAAACCGAATCCGATGTTAACAGCAAAACCGTTTCGACAAACGAAACTGCAACAACGATCTCAAAAGATACCAAGGGAAAGCCTCCTAGGCCTCGAACTCCACCGCCTACTAGCGACCACGTCCTTGGCCTTCGGAACATGCCTTGCGTCTCGACGAGGGGCAATGGCCCCAATGGTAAAACCGTCAATGGTTTTCTATACAGATACACGAATTCCGAAGTCTGCATCATCTGTGTCTGCCATGGAACTTCGTTTACCCCGGCCGAGTTCGTGCAGCACGCTGGTGGTACCGATGTTTCTCATCCTCTCAGACACATCACTATGGTTCCCGCCGCCTTTTAGTGGAAGACAACAAATGTATAGCCATATTCCTGATTGTTTTGCCTGTTTTCTAGACCATGTTTTTCCCCCCAGGCAAAACGGCTTCTAACAGCATTAATTTGACAAGAAGATTTTAGGTCAGTTTCTTCATGTGTTGTTTTCTTTTAATTTGTACAGCTTCCTTCATGCCAAACTTGTCTCGTTTTCCAGTGCTTTTGATGCATTTTTCAGATTATAGTAACGGAATTCCATTTATTAATTCTGCATTGTACCAGCACGTTGATGACAGATATTGACAACAAAACATCGATTCAAACAAATAGTAGAATAGTGGGCAATAGAAGAAAAAAAGAGAAGGGGGGTTGGGGGGGAAATCAAACTTGTTTGCAACGCATTGTGATGGTAATTGACTCGGTGTTTCTTAAACCCGATAGGGACCCCAATAGGCCAATACTTGGTGCGACGGAAACTGTACCAACCCGAATTTCACATGTTTTTTTTAAAGCTCAACAGTAGGATGTCAATGGGTCAGTTCGAGTTTTTGGGTCACTCGATCTGAGAAGAAAGGGTCCTCCACCTGTGACCCAACTCGATCCGAAAAAATTAATGTTTCATCTATCTCGATCCGAATATATGACTTAGAAACCCGATTCGATCAAAAATAATTAAAAATATATATTTTATTCAATAAAAACAGTGATTTAATTAAAAAAAATTATATATAGAGGGGTAATATTGTAATTATCCCTAAATATATATGTAAAATTATATATATTTTTCGGGTCGGGTCGGATTTTTTTCACCCTAAATCCGACTCGAATAGTGTGTTTTTTTTTTAAAAAACACGACCCGACCCGAATCTAATTTTTTTAAAAAAATTTGATCATATCAGGTCGAGTCGGGTCGAAACCCGTCTAATTCGGGTTGAGTTGCTATCCCTACTCAACAAACTGATAATGATACCTTTGTTTATTGTTTCGATTTTTCTTTTACCAATAACACGATTAAATTTCGTTAGCAAAAATATAACACGAAGAAAAATAATTTTTTTTTATTTAGAATGACGATTGAAAATCTAAGTAAATTTTATAAAATCTCATTGAGATGAAACGATAAGAGGATGATGAGCGAACTAAATAATCTGATAGATTATTTCACAATATAATTTAGATTATGTCAATAACCAACCATTTATCAAAGAGAGAATATGATTATACGCGATTACTAACAAATTAATCAGATAATAAATATAGTGATTTTTTTTGTGAGCACCAAAATAACCGTAAAAGTATGGAAAAATATCAAAAATCATAAAGATCGTGCTATAAGAGTAGAGAAAAATGTGTCACAATAACTTATATTATTATTTAAAATTAAAAAAAACTAAAATGAAAGATGTAATATAAAAAATAAAAAAAAACTACTAATCGTTAACGATTAACAAACAAATATTAAAATTAGTGTCATCCTTGATTATAAAAGAAATAATAGACAAAATATTAAGAAGAAAATTAAGTTATATAATCATATATTTCTTTAAAAGAGTCAGTAAGGCTATTAGACCATCCGCCAACTCGATTGTAGCAGCTTTATCTTCCACTACCTTTTCCTCCGCCGCTCTTTCCTCCGGATCCCCTGCTTCCACCGCCGAACGCCTCCTTCAGGCCATCCGCCAACTCGATTCCCAAATCCGCTCTCACGTCCTTGCTAGCCACCCTCTCCTCCTCACTCAGTTATCTTCTCTCAACAACGCTGAGGTTTCCCTCTCCACTCTTAGATCTTCCATCTCTTCGCTTCAATCTTCGGTTCGTCGAGTCCGATCTGAGCTCTCTGAACCCCATAATTCAATTTTCTCCAAGACTGTCCAGCTCTCGAATTTACATAAAACTTCCGAGCTTCTCTAACAATTATTTTGCTCTCGGCATTTCTTTTCTTCTTTTCATTTTTCAATTAGTTGTGTATAGATTTCGGTTTATCTAGGTTTTCGAATCTGGTTTCTAGGAGATTAGGATTACTTTTTCTTCTCTGGTTCTTTTTTTGACTGTTCTGTTGCAGAGTTGCTTTGTTACTGAGCAGAAAGCAAAGGAAAAGAGATGGCTCAAATTCATTGAAAAACATTAACTTTTGTGTGCGTTACAGTGCGTTTGAAAAAAAGAGGGCCTTTTTTCATTTTTTTCCATTCTGTTTTGTGTAAAGTTTGATCCTTTAACTTAAAGATTCACTTTTTTCCATTCAAGAAGGATCGATAAACTTGACACAATCATAGTTATTTTCATACATAGCAGATCCGGTGGTATTAATCTTTGTTTATATCCTTCGGCTTGAATCCTTCTTATCCATTGAAATCAAGCGGTTTCTTTCAGCTTCTCTTCTTGGTCAAGATCCGTTTCTTTTACTTTACTTCTGAACTAGATCTATGCAGTTACCGCTTACCCATTTCTTTTCAATCTTTCTTCTTTTTGGGTTTGTGATCTTTCTCTTATTCGATTGATCGTATCCTTTAAAATTCCAAGAATCTTCAGATCTCATATCTTCCTGGGCGCAGTTGAAATAATTCTTCAGATCCACTGACTTTTAAATTTTTTTTTCCTTTTTTTTTCTTTTCGTTTTATTCATTGAATCCCAAGAATCTTCAGATCCCAGATCTTCCTGGGGTTTTATCATTCTCGATACTTCCATCGTAATTTGGGAAATTGGTTTAGAATCAGGGGACACCGCTTATTATTATATTTTTTGCTTATTTGAATCTAACTTTCTGTATTTTTAGTATTATTATTTGTTTTCAGCTCAGTTTTCTCGCACTTCCTAACGAACTTTCCAGGCTCAATTTCTTCCGCCTTGCAGTTCGATCGGTCCACCTTCCTCGTAGAGCAACGATCGCCTTCGTCAGCGGTTTAATTTCTGAACAAAAAATTTTTGGTTTTCTCTTTTTCTTCTAATTTCATAAGATTTTGCATGCTAATTTCTTGATAGGTAAAGGTTTGATTTTGTGTTATAGCACGGTTTTTATCAGATTTTTATCTGAACAAAGATTGTTAATTTCGCATCCACGAAATTTGATATATCCCTTTTGGCTTTGTCGTTGTTTTGCATATCCCTTGCATATTTTTGTACTTAATATTTCTTAATCTTGTTGTTGTTGGATCTGCTTTCTTTGACTTAGCTTCTTGCTGTTTTTTCTCTTGTTTTTATACTGATATTTTTTTACCAGCTTTGGGTTTGATGTTTTTCAATTAGTTGAGTAGGATTTCATTACTCTTATATCTCGTGTTACAATTTTAATCATTTTTTTGCTTAGCTCGGATATTTATTAAACATTTTAAATTATAGTTTCTAGATATTGGCCTATAGTTAAATAAGATAGTATTATTTTTTCTTAAAATCCTATTAAGTAACCAACTAGGATTTTTAGTACTCCTCAATTCTCTAGCGTTTTATTAGTGCATCTTCTGTCTTATTTGGATTCTTTTTTCATAGTTCCTCATAGCTTCGGTTACAGATGATTACTTGAGGTCATGTCATTCTTTTAGATCCCATGGGGCGTATAGGGGGAGGGCTCGACAGAGTGGTGACAAGGAGACTAGATTAAGAGTTTGCTCGCTGAACGTAGGCACATTAAATGCTAGGCTGCTGGAGCTGACCGACGTACTTAATAATAGAAAAATAGATTTTGCATGTATTCAGGAGACTAGGTGGAAAGGGTCTCGCGCAAGAGAGTGTAATGGGTACAAGTTGTGGTATTCAGGCATAGATAACGCTAGAAATGGGGTGGGTATCTTGGCATCCTCTAGGCACAAGGATAATGTAGTTGAAGTTTGCAGATACCGGGATAGGATCATGATGATTAAGGTTATTATAGAAGAGGAAGTAGTGAATATCCTTTCAGTGTACGCCCCACACGTTGGCCTAGGGGAGGGGGAGAAACGTTGCTTCTGGGATCAGTTAGATGATATACTTAGGAGCATTCCGGAGGACCAAAGAGTTTTCATAGGGGGAGACTTCAATGGCCATATAGGAAGTGCAACCGACGGGTATGACGGTGTTCATGGGGGTTTCGGTTATGGTAGCAGGAACGATGGGGGGCGTACGTTGCTTGATTTTGCTACTGCTCACGATTTGGTGATCACTAACTCCTTCTTTAATAAGAGAGATGCGAACTTGATTACGTTTCATAGCGGGGGACATTGTACCCAAATCGACTACATCTTGATTAGAAATCAGGAACGATGGGCTTGCATTGACTGTAAGGTGTTCCCTGAAGAGGCATGTGCATCACAACACAAATTGTTGGTTTTGGTGTATCGCGTACCCCACGGGCGGAGCACTCATAGGAGGGCTAAACTTGGTAAACCTAGGATCCTCTGGAAGAACTTACATGGAGCGACAACTGATGACTTTAGGAGTAAGGTTTTGTCTAATACAAGTTTTGAAACTACAAACTCAAAAAATGCAGATATGTTATGGAAAAATATGGCAAATTCCATCAGAGATGTTGGCAAAAATACCCTTGGGTTGTCGACGGGGAAGGCCAAGGAACATAAAGAATCGTGGTGGTGGAACGACGAAGTCCAAACTAAGGTGAAGACAAAACAAACTTGCTTCAAGGAGTTTCTACAATGCAATGACGACGAAGAAAGGTCGAGAGCTAAACAAAGATACCAGGAGGCAAAGCGGGAAGCCAAGAAAACGGTAGCTAAAGCAAAGGATATGGCATACGAGGAAATGTACAAGAGATTAGACACCAAGGAAGGACAAAATGGCATCTTCAGACTTGCAAAATCTAGGGAGATTAGGAAAAAAGATCTAGGTAACATTAGGTTTATTAAGGACAACAATGGTGTTCTTTTAGCGAAAGATCACGATATTAAGAGGGTTTGGAGTAGTTACTTCTTTGGCTTATTTAATGACGGTGCCTCTCCATGTAGAGATAGTATCGTTGATGGGTTAGCCGACTATCTTACTACGGCCAATGACTGCCCTACAAGTAGGATTGGGTTTGAGGAAGTCAAAATGGCTCTTAGAAAGATGGGAAGGGACAAAGCTGTCGGTCCTGATCAAATTCCTATCACTGTGTGGTTGACCCTAGGAGAAGAGGGAGTTAAGTGGTTGACCAACATCTTTAATATTATTTTAGAGACTGCCAAGATGCCAGAGGAGTGGAGAGAGTCTAC